ATGTCTGTATATATATATATCTGTGTATCTATGACTATATATTTTTACTCTTCCAGAAAAGAAGCCGCTGATTTCTACGTAGACCATCAATCAAAACCTTTCTATAAGTACGTATATCAATTTCAGCTTGACATGTATTAAGCTTATTTATTGAATGCACAGGATTCATTTGCCATATTTGGTACTGCAGGACCATGGAAAATTGGGACTTGTCTTAGCTGAGTGGAGCCCCTTGCAAAGCATGCACCCTGTTCATCTTCTGCCAGGGACAGATCCTTATTTCAGCTATCCAGGGTTTTAGCTCACAGTCTTTACAGCCTGGTGATATCAGGGGAATGTCTGGTCTCTCAGAAGTGAAAACGTTTCTAGCAAGGCAAAACTTCAAAGCCAAGAGAAGAAGCAACTTTAGGATTAGGGTGGAGCTTGCAGGTAGTGGGGATTAGGGGGGAACACTTAGCTGTGAGACTTCATTTAGTAGCAAGTACTCAAATCATAAGTAACTGAAAGGATAGTGCATGGGGCAGTTGTTTGCTGTACTGCTACCCTTGGACAAAACATCAAACTTCCATGATGCTAGACTGGTCCACTTAACATGAAAAAACGTAGTCTTTCCATAACTGACCAGATTGATGCTTATGACCCAGATATTGTGTTGTTTCTACTTTGCCTGAAAGTGCCAACAAACAACTTTCTTTTCCTCCATCTGGATTTGGCGGTCTGCATCTTTTAGGAAGAGGATGCAGTTCTACCTTGTGTTTTTCAGCCATGTTGGAACCTGAGTTTGCGCTGACTTAGTCAAAAGACCTGATTTCAGTACTGTCATGAAATGCTTCAGTATTAGGATCTGTCAGCTGCTCCCCTGTGTCAGCAACTGATTTCCTGTGGGTACATACTCAAGTCCTTCACAGAGACATGGTTCCAGGCTATGTCTGACCATGTTGGAGAATAGAGGAAGATTTAGAATTGCGTTTTCTTTGCTGAGTAAGCTTCCTTGAATATGTTGATAAATGAGCAAGAATTTTGCCTGTACTGTTATTTCAAGACGTCTATCTACACTAATGGTAATTATCTGAGGAACTCTAGACTTTGTCCACTGTCATGTGCCTGTCTCACATCCTAAAGTCCTATTGGCTACATCTTCTGTATAGAATTTTTCTCTAAATTAGGATCACAGAATCACAGAATGGTAGTGGTTGGAAGGGACCTGTGAAGATCATTCAGTCCAACCCCCCTGCCAGAGCAGGATCACCTAGGCCAGGTCACACAGGAACGCATCTAGGGGGGTTTTGAATGTCTCCAGAGAAGGAGACTCCACAACCTCTCTGGGCAACCTGTTCCAGTGCTCTGTCATCCTCACAGTGAAAAAGTTTTTCCTTATATTAAGATTGAACCTCCTGTGTTCCAGTGTGTGACCATTGCCCCTTGTCCTGTCACTGGGCACAATCGAGTCTGATCCCATTCTCCTGACACCCACCCTCCAGATTTTTGTGCGCGTTAATGAGATCCATCTCAGTCTCCTCCAGGCTAAACAGACTCACTTTCTCAGCCTTTCCTCATATGGGAGATGCTCCAGTCCCCTCATCATCTTAGTGGCTCTATGGTGGACTCACTACAGGAGTTCCTTGTCCTTCTTAAACTGGGGAGCCCAGAATTGAAGGCAGTATTCCAGATGAGGCCTCACCAGGGCAGAGTAGAGGGGGAGGAGAACCTCCCTTGACCTGCTGGCCACAGTCTTCTGTAATGCACCCCAGAATGCCCGTTGGCCTTCTTGACTCCCAGGTCCCTTTTCCCTGAGCTGCTCTCCGGCAGGTCAGTCCCCATCCTGTACTGTTATATGGGGTTGTTCTTTCCCATATACAGTACCCTACACTTGCACTTGCTGAATTTCACTAAGGTTCTTCCTGTCCAACTCTCCATCCTGTCCAGGTCTCGCTGAATGGCAGTACAGCCTTCTGGTGTGTCAGCCACTCCTGCCAGTTTTGTGTCGTCAGCAAACTTGCTGAGGGTACGCTCTGTCCCATCATCCAGGTCATAGATGAGTATATTGAACAGGGCTGGACCCAGTACAGACCCCTGAGAAACACCACTAGACACAGGCCTCCAAGTAGACTCTGCCCCACTGAGCTCAACTCTGAGATCTGCCCTTCAGCCAGTTCCCAATCCACCTCACTGTCCAGTCCTCCAATCCACTCTTCTTAAGTTTGGCTGTGAGGATGCCATGTGAGACGGTGTTGAAAGCCTTGCTGAAGTCAAGATAGACCACATCCACTGCCCTACCCTCATCAATCCATCCAGTTATGGCATTGTAAAAGGCTATCAGATTGGTCAAATATGACTTCCCCTTGGTGAATCCCTGTTGACTACTCCTGATAACCCTCTTTTCCTTGATGTGCTTTGCGATGGCACCAAAAAAAAGCTGTTCCATCATCTTCCCAGGGATGGAGGTGAGACTGACTGGTCTGTAGCCAACTTCAAAGTTAAATCAGGTTACTCAAGGCCATGCTGAGTTGAGTTCTGAGCATCTTCACTTATTCATATGTTTTTGTTGGTTTTAATTTGTGGAGTGGATCACCATGTGTTGTTTCCATTTTGCAGTGAGCTTCTCCAGTTTATAACAAGTGGTCCTGTTGTTGCTATGGAAATCTTAGGAGATGATGCAGTTTGTAAATGGAAAACATTACTGGGGCCAGCAAACTCTGCAGTGGCTCGCACTGATGCACCAGACAGCATTAGAGCGAACTTTGGACATGACGGCCTAAGAAATGCAGCTCATGGCCCAGATTCACTTGCTTCAGCTGCTCAAGTAAGTTTTTGACTGTGTTTGTTGACTAAGGTTTATTTTTACTTTATCTGGTAACAGCTGGGTCAGGAACTCCTCATTTTTTTCCCCACTTGAGTTCAGAACTAATTTAGATATTCTTCATGGATCATTTTCAGCATGGAAAAATAAACTGAAAAGAGAAATCTCATTTATCTCTGTCACAAAGGGGCACTTTGATCAGGAGAGCATGCCTGGTCATTTTTAATGTCTTCAGTACATCACAAACATTGAGTTAATTGCATAGCCTGTGTAATCTACCTATAGGCTACCAGTGTTGGTCATAAAAAAAAAAGGATTAAACAATTAAATCCTTTTATGCCCTCCTGTGTTTTGCTTATCTGTTCTCCTCCATGGTCCTCACTAGTCATCTGCCAGCAGCCTGCTTTCCTCTGCTGTCATTGTTCCAAATGAATAATTATGAAGACAGGCCACTTCGTATTGCTGTGTGATTTGAGGGGTGGGCCTGGCTTTGAGGAGTTCGGTTCTCCTTTGCTTTGTTTGCAGTGTGTCTTTCCTTAGCACTAAGAAAAAGCCCTGAGACTGAGTGATAGATATTCCTAGCATTTGTGCAGAATTGAGGTGACTGTTTGTGTGTGGTGGTGTAGATATGCAGGTAGATGATGGCAAGAGTGAAGTTTACCTCATGATTGGTTGGTGTTGCGCTGGAGTATCTTAGCTCTAGAACAGTGGGGAAAACATACCAGTTGTTGCTTCCCTGGTTCTAGTCTTTCCACTATTTAAATTGAAACAGCTGCAGCAGCACAGCTGGAGAGATGTCCCAGAATACCTAATAAGCTGCCAAGTACTGCATACTAGAAAATATACATAGAGCTTATATCCTGGTGGTGGCAGCGGAGTTGGTCAGCCTTTTCTTCTGGCTGGCTGTTAGGCTGCTTGGCATAGCAAGCTCACCGCAAAAACGTGAGTGCTTTTCTGCTGCTCAGGCACGCATCTCACTTATCTACCAGGCTGCTGGATTTTCTCATGTGCCTCTGGTTTTGGCAAGAAATCATATGCTGGACCTGAAGTACTTTTATCTGCTGGCAAACTTGATGAAGATGGTACGTAGTCAGAAAGAGTTTGGGTAAAATTTATCTTTTCTGATGGAGGATTTTAGTCAGAAGAGTCTTTGTAGTTCTGGTTAAATAGCTAGATGTCTTCATATATAAGGGTGAAAGTTTCTTTTTGTTCCTGCGTACTGCCATGACAACTGTGCCAGCTTTTGGACCAAGAATGTAGGAAAGAATATTTATTAGTATAAAATTTTTATTAGATGCATAAGTATGTGCTTTGGCTTAAGTTTGTTGGTTTTTTTGCATTTCATTATTTTTTAAATACTGTTTGAAGGCCCCATTAATCTGAGTTTTTATGACGGGGGATTATTTTGCTGAACTTTTGCAGGTGTGTGCATCTTTGTGGTGTTACTGATACCAATCTTCAATAAATCAACCAAAATTGCGAATTTAATACAGTGGTGCATATTTTAATTTAGTAGGCACAGTATTGTATGGCTGTGTAGCAGTTGCTATAGAAACTGGTTAGCTGTGCCTTGCAGAAGCCTTGCTGAAAAGAAAGACATATTAGATAAAGGGACAAAAGTGAACTCTTCTGAAGGGAAACCAAAGTCCCAGACACATCTAATGAGTGGCGTTGTTTAGCTTGGAGAAGAGGAGACTGAGGGGTGACCTCATTAATGTTTATAAATTTGTAAAGGGTCAGTATCAGGAGGAAGGAGCCAGGCTCTTCTCTGTGATGTCCAGTGATAGGACAAGGGGCAGTGGGAGCAAGCTGGAGCATAGGAGGTTCAATCTGAACATGAGGAAAAACTTTTTCACTGTGAGGGTGACAGAGCACTGGACCAGGCTGCCCAGAGAGGTTGTGGAGTCTCCTTCTCTGGAGACATTCAAAACCGGCCTGGATGTGTTCCTGTGTGACCCGGTCTGAGTGATCCTGCTCTGTCAGGGAGATTGGACTGGATGATCTTTAGAGGTCCCTTCCAACTCCTAAGATTCTGTGATTCTGTGGAGCTGTGGTTCTGTGTATTGTAAACTGAACAGTTATAGTGAAAGACTGAATTGTTCTTTTGGAGGCTAAATGACAAGTGGAAATATGCCTTTGGTATACCCTATGCTGGTGTCTCTCTGCAGGCCACGTTTTGGGATTACTTTAGATCAGGAATAAAGGGAAAGGAAAATAATTTTCTTATTAAGACTCTACTAGCTTAAAGTTTGGCATTCCATTATCCTAGTTCTTCGGCATTATTTAATTGCTTTCCTTTTATGACTTTTAATGGATAAAACAGTGTGTTAAGTATTGTAAATATTTTGTTGCCTTTTCCTGGCTGCTTCTTTTAGAGTAAACATTTGTTAACAGTGGGACAAAGTCTTTGAAGCATGCATCATTTTATCAGTAGAAGGATGTAGGAAATGAACCCTTTTGTCTCATATATGAGCACTTAAAATGTGTAGTATTTGGTAGGAGAAAAACAAAAAACATTTTTCCTTTTTATTGAAAGATCCATTAGTTGGAATTGTATAACTGTTCAAGTAAGGATTACAGGAATCATCAGAGTGCCATGAGCTAAAGAGTGGGAGATAGCTAACTCTATTCCATCTGATTTAAGCTAGCAAATTAAATGAGACAATTCCAGGAAATGGCCTTTAGCACTGCTACTGTTACATGGGGAAAAAACCACATAGATTCAGAAGTAGTCGTTCCAGGATATTATTTCCCTTAAATAGAAATTTGTTAATTCTCTTACTGAATTTGACCAATAGGTCTGAAATGGAATCTGGGCGTCGAGCATTTGATTAATGTTAATTGGCAGATTGTGTAACATATGTAAATAAATGGTATGGAAAAGGTGTGAAGCTGGCAGTGAACAGTGAAAAAATATTACTGAGGAAAGAAACCTGACTGTCAAACTCACCCCACTATGGCCTTAGACCCAAACTATACAATACCCGAATAGTGATGGTTGGAAGCAAGGAAGTGATCAGAGGCGAAGAGGTGATTTGATTCATCAAAAAAGCATTATGAGTTCATCAGCTTCAATTCAGTAAAATTAAAAAAATAAATAATAGGGTTGATAAAGAATGAAGAATGGGTCAACAATTTTAGACAAAGTTTAGACATTTAAATCAAAAGTTAAAAAGTTGTAAACAAATGGGATGGAGGTCAGTTTTGTGCATGGAAAGAAAACATACTGAGAAATGAATGGCAGTTGTGTTTTTTTTAGTGGAAAAGATGATGTGAAAAGAGGAAAAATAAGATATGTGTATATGGAAATGGATTTGGGAAAAATACTGAGGAAAGAGAGAATTCAGAAAACTGGGAACACCTCTACCAAATTATTGTAGCAGCAGCATTTTGAATGCTCTGAATGGAAATGGATTGCACTGCAGAAATGAAAGAAAGACATTGCAAGAAATATTTCCATAATGGTTTTATGATTGTAGCAATGGTGCCAGAGAGTGAAATATATATTTGAGAGAATATTATAGCGAAAAAGTATATGTAGCAGAAAAATCTATAATTAAGATTTATCTTCTGTGACTATGCATACCTAAGATGTTGTTACATAAAGCTGATGTATGCAGCTAGATCAATCTAAAATGCATTTAATTCCAATTGTTTTCAGGAGCTGGAGTTGTTCTTTCCCTCCAGTGGAGGTCGCGGACCAGTCAACAGTGCAAAATTCACCAACTGTACTTGTTGCATTATTAAGCCTCATGCAGTTAATGAAGGTAAGCAGTGCAGATAATGGAGGTGAAAGCAATGTCTGCCTCACTGTATCCATGATCATTCCTGTGCCCTTTTTTGGGAGAATGAGACTGCAAGAGCACAGGGTATGTTTCATAGTACATGCAAAGGTATACAGATACATTGTCTTTCATACACCTGTATTATTTCTGCAATTCAGTTCCATGAAGAGTGGGTTGTGCACTTTCCATGCAGATACTTGTTAATTTCAGAATAAGAAGGGAGAGGTGAAAAAAGAGATAAAAATATACATGAGATTTGATAAATCTTACTGTGACTGTTTACCATGTCCTTCCTCCTGTCTGCCTACCACACTGCTCTGCTGGAGGTTAGTATCCTCACAGCAGAGTGAAAGCAGAACACCTGACCATATTGCAGGGCCTTCCACTCACACAGTAACACATTACATTAAAACTACTCACAAAGGGAGATTTGTGCTGATAGGAATCTTGTTCTGCTGAATGCAGTGGGGATGGAAATTAGAAAAGGTATGTTTACTCTGTGAAAATGAACCAAAGACCTAAAGCATTTGTTGGGCACCATGATGCTTTCTGTGCTAGAGAATGCCCTGTAAGCTTACCATGTAAGTATGAGAAATGTGTAAGGCCCAACTGTTACCATACAAAAGTAATCTCACTTCTGTTTCCTGTGCTTAGATACAGGAGGCTGTGTAGGAGCAGTGAGGGCAGTAAAATATTGTGTCTGTTGACTCTGCAACAGTATTTTTGAGTCCAGAATAAATACTGCCAGGTGTGAGCATTGAGATTTTTCTTAGTAAGATGCAGAGCACGCTGCAACATTTTAATCACTTCTCTGTGGACAGCTCAAATGGAAACAGCAGAAGTGGCCGCAGCAGTTTCCAGGCCTTTCACACCTCAAGTGGGATGTCTGGAGACCTTGCTGAAGAAGAAAAAAGGCTTTCATAGGAAAGAGTCTTGCACTGACTGCTGATAATATGCCTGTTATCTCTCTGAGGCCTTGCATGGTATTTGCTGCTCATAAATCTGCCATGCAGCAAGGACAGAGTGATGTTCCTTTTACAGAAATATGGATAGCAGCTGGTACTATGATCTTACCTAGCTGAATGTTTGGAGATTACAAACTTTTCCATGGCAGGATCGTTAGGGTCCTTAATTTGATTGCGAAAATAGCAAAGCATAAGGCTTGGGTTGTTCCAATTGTTTTCAGGAGCTGGAGTTGTTCTTTCCCTCCAGTGGAGGTCACAGACCAGTCAACGGTGCAAAATTCACAAACTGTACTTGTTGCATTATTAACCTCATGGGAGTATTCACAGTCCATACAGCTTTCATTTCTACCCTCAACAAAATGAAGAAAGCAAAACTGAATTTTCTTTTCTCAGCCAGCAAAGTGTTTTATAAATTCTAAATTAATATTGAGAATTATGGAATTCAGGGACTGGCCATGCTTTTACCTTACTAAGCTCTGTTGTTCCTGCCTGTTCTCTCCAATGTTACTTTGACTGTTTCAAAAGACATAGATGCTGCATCTTTAAAAGAGATTATAGAACTGAGGAGATCTTGTGGAACTTTCCAGAAGTCTGGCTTCTGACAGGGAGTTGAGCTTAGGGAAGAGTCACTGTGGCTGTACCATGGCCTCACTCTTTGGCTGAGAGCACTGGTGTGGCTTGATATCACAACTGAACTGGTTCCAGTCTGCCGTTTGAGGTGAGATAAATCCTTCCTCACAAGAGCTGCAGGAACTCTCCAACATCAGCCCAATGGGCCAGGAGTGTTGCAGGAGAGAGGATTTGGCTTTCTTAGCCTGTCCTTATCTGTCTTCCTTAGTCTTTCTTGTCTGGGTTTTTTGGGAACAACAAAAATATCCCTGAGTGTCATCTCTTTTTGTATGCTGGGTCTTCTTATGAAGCATTTTGCATTATCAAAGTTGGAAGAACTGTGTGGTGCAGAGGAGAGAGCTGTGCACTGGCTTTGCAGTAACTTTTGAAGGTCTTAATTTTGAAATTACTTTTTGTGATTAAATTGGCTGTTTTAAAGAAGCATAGCCTTTGTCTCCTCCAGATATTAAAGCTCTTAACATTTTGAGCACGTTGTGTATCCAGTGTCAGACTGTCCCTGAAGAAAAGCCACCATTCCTCCTTTCCTGTGCAGACAGATTTGGAGTCAGGGAAAATTACGCTGAGAGATTTGTGGGGACTATACAGTCTGCTCAGGAGAACTCCCAGCTGCCTGTGTGAAACAGGTAGACAAGGAGGGAGAAGCCCAGCTTTGGGGATTAGGGAACAGAGGCATGGCAGTGGGGCATGTTGGCCTCATGGATTATGCATTTGTAGGCAGAAAGTTTGAGAAAGAAAGGGCAGATATTTGGGCTCAGTGATCCGTGACAGAGGGGGGAGGCCCTGCCCATCTCATATTCTTTTTAACAGCTGTTGACAACAGTGTTCAGTGATTCCCAAGACATTCTACTTATGCCAGCAACATCTCCTGTATCTCAGTTGAAGTAGGTGCTATAGCAAGTAGTGAGCTGCCCTTTTGGCAAAATTGCACATAGGGAACTGTGTGGTCTTAGAAATAAGCAACTCGTGTACCCTCAGCAATGATGCTTCTAGCTGTGGCTGTCCTTCCTGCTGTTTCTGGTGGAGAAGAACGTAGGTGGAACCACGGCAGCTGGAGAGGAAAGGAAATCCTATGTGGCCATCAGTGTGAGAAGGTGGTTTGGCAGAGGCGGAGACGTGGAAAGGAATTTATGTGGGTCAAAGCAGCAGAGCTTGTTATGCATTGCAGAATCAATTTGTACTCCTCAAATTTTCAGTATCAAGTATCTAAAAATAAACCTTTTTGCCTTTCCTATGCACTGCTGAGGCTTTGAACTTGATTATCTAATTACCATTAATGTAATCTGCTCATTACACATGTACACTTACATATGTGAGCTTATACGGAGCTTTAGTCTTTATTTCTGCAAAAACATTTGACTGAATTAGTGATTTGACTTTTGCTTTCCAGTCCTTTTTCCCAGTGTTTATTTTTCTTCCAAAGTTTGTTGCATAACTGATTCTTAGAAGGAAAAATCTTCTATTTTTCCATCCTGGAAGATGGGTTGCTTAAACCACAGCTGTAAGCCTGGAGGCTTTTCAGTGAGCTTACCTTGCTGTCAAAAGGCTGGATCTAATCTCTTGTTTACGCTGGTTGGTTCTCAGACAGAGTCCTTTCTTAGAAATTGCCTTTGATTACCACAGATGGTTTATAGGGTTCCTATCCAGCAACAAAATGGTGGAAAGTCTCTGTTGTTTTTTTTTCTGTGGCCTTGCCGACCCTCTCCTGGTGGGCACACAGAAACCTCTGTTGCTAGGCGGCCGCAGCAGCCTGCCCACCCACAGCAGGACCTGGCACAGCACTTATGTACATGATAAGTCCAGTAAGTGAGAGTACCGAAAGTGTCTTCTGGGCTGCAGGACACTTTCAGACCCTGGAGCGTGATAAAGGCTGTCAGGGGAGTTATGTGAAGTTTAACTTTAGCTGTCGAGGGTGCTGGTAACACTGGAGGGATGGTATCGCCAGCCTTCTTGGAATGTGTAGCATACGCACCTCTTAAAGAAGTAAGGCAATAGCTATTTTGTCTGTCTGGTGTCAGCATAGCATCTTCTGCGGAGAATCGGAGATGGGGAAACAGCTGGGAAGGCTATTTGAAGCCATTGTAGTCCGGTGCTGTGGATTAGACAGCTTTAGCCCATTCTCTAGCAGCTCCTCCCGGTGGTAATGAAGCACTTCCCTGAATGGCTTGAAAGTTGGCAGTGACAAGGTGGTTGTATTTTAACTCTGAAGAAGGTTTGCAAGAGCAGTCCAGTTCCTCTTTACTGGAGATGAAAGAATGGAAAAGCAACCTGATGCTACTCCATGCGGATTTATGCTGACCAGGGGTGTATCGGGGAGATGCAATGTGTTGACCCTCATAGAATCTGCCACTCTTCTCAGTGCCTTTTAGCCTCCTGCTTCCCTTCTCCTGAGACCAGTTTTCAGTTGAAGAGGATGGTAACTAGTAAGCACAGCTCCTCAGTGTGTTGATTAGGATTGTAGGGCTTAATTTTTTTAATAATTGGAGTGTTCTAGTGTGGATCTGTGTTCTGGACTTCACTTGCTTCTTGTGCACAGAACTTCTGATAATTCAGATACCAGGTCACAGCTGCAATCATTTAGACATTGTCTTTCTGTATTTCCCCTCATGTTACTAGATCTGGAGGTATTAGCAGTAGTGCTCCAAAGCCACAACTGTAAATGTACCAAAATGAATGAAGTTCAGTTTAATGCCCTGAGGACAGTTATGCCTCGACTGTTTTGTCAGCATAAATAGCACCTTGTAGATCACTGGGTGGGATTAACTTTAATGTATTTATGTGTCATAGTTTAGTCATGTTTGCTGTGGGAATTAGAATCTGCTATTTCATGACTGATTTAAAGTTTCTTTGATGTGGCTTTTACTTAATTTCTTTGAAAAACAAGCAGGAAAGAAATGATTTAAGTAGCGATGGTCAAACTATGAAGTCTGAGGTCAGAAGTTTTTTTTATTTCACATTTTGTACTTAGGTTATGGCACAGAGCTCATGAGGTGAGATCCTGCCCTCCTTTTTTGCACGCCCAAGCTGAGACATGGGCTCTCCTGAGTTTTGTCAAAAGCAAAGTTTGGGTTCAAACTGTGCCACAAACTTGAAAAGCAAAGCTGCTAGTCAAGACTTCATTGGACCCTATGCAAACTGAAAGGCCTGAGTGGAAGTCTAATTCAGTTGAATATCACTGCCTTCATCTAAGTCCCTTGATGTTAGGAAACCAAAATTTTCCTTTAGTGAAGCAATTTGTACCTTTAGATCTGTGCAGCATGGGCATCTGCATATGTTTAAATGTTTTCCTGTGGACACAACCACATCCAATTAAAATGGCTTTATAAGTGAAATCTTGTCACCCATCCTTGGGCCAGTTCTTGGCAGTATTGTCATCAATGACACAGATGG